TTGTCCGTGAGGACGACAGCGTCCGTTAGGACAAATGGGACTCGTCCGTCCTTGGCTTCCCTTGGGTCTGCTTCGATTGTGAGTTGGACTTGAGAGTCTAAAAAGGGTTCAGTCCTAACTCTATCTTTCTGTTAGGTCATTGCGGCCGGTGCGATTCCAATCATGCTGTTCGGTTCCAGAAGCCATAATTTTGATGAGTGTTGCAGGGGCTCTAATCTTACTGTGGCACAATTGGTTGACCTGATTTCATTGGCTTGACAATGTCGAGGTTAAGGTTGTGGGTTTTAGCCGGAATGCCAAGTTGGGTTTGGGTCGCGGTGCGTCAGGGCAAGGCTTCGGGTGCAAGGGACGGGTGGTAAGTTCGGGTTGGAATGGACTCAATGGATTGGATCGACCATTCACGAAAAACTCAAACATGGATGTCATGCCCAGCCTGTGTGTACAACAGATGTCTTCAATGACACATGTGTTTTTCTAACATCCTAGACTGTCGGGCAGCATCTGCTTGCATGGATTTTGGGAACGCAACTGCGGTGAGACAGGGCTAAAGCGGGGCATCATGGGAACTATGGAAATCCTTTCGCAAGACAGCTGGCAGATTCATCCTATGCAGCTTCTTTCGGTGACGTATGCCATGATCCTCTCGTACTACATCATTGAAAGGAAGCAAGCAGTTGTCCGGTCTAATTTCACCGTGCAGATCCTAGGTAGCAAACAGGATCCCCATGTCATTTCACATTCTTAGAAGGCATTGTCTATTTGACAAGTCCATGATGTTGCGGCCAGGTCCCAGCCTGGACTTGGTCTTCTGCTTCATGATTGGGCCAGGACCTGAGACAGTTCATGTGGGCAGGATGGCGTCAAGCTTAAGCTGGGGCCCGTGCAGAGCTGTCCTGCATGCTGTGTACTGCCTCTGTTGCTGGAAGACGTGCTGCTTCGAGCCCGGTCGTAGGTCTAAAACACTTGCTGGCGCCGTGGCTTGAACTCTCAAAAGTCATCTCTGTTTGCGGCGCTGAGGAAGCGCCCGGGGCTCTCTGGCCTTCCATTTAGCACCATGGCTGGGAAAAGGAGCGGCAAGAAGCTCGTGACGAAGTCCGCCACCAAGAAGGATAAGAAGCAGAAGGAGCAATTGATGAAGGGAATCCGGGAGAACAACAAGCGGTCGGAGGACCTCGCCCACAAAACCAACTTGGAGGAGCTCATGGAATGGCTGGAGGGCCATCCCGAGGCCACCAGTGCCATGTTGTGTCAGGTCCGGGCTGGGTCGTGGGACAGCGGATCCGAGAGCGAAGAGGAGGAGCGTGTCCCGGCCTATCAGAACAAACTCAATGTCCTCAGCAAGGAAAACATCTTCAAGATCGTGTCCTCCTTCAGCAAGGTCCTCTCTGGGTGGTTGCAGGGCCTTCCGAAGAAGACACAAAAGGGGGAGCTCGGTGCGGTGTTGGCGTTCTTGACGCACATGGAGCCGACGAGCGCCTTGCCCACCAAAGCGATGGTGGCCTTGCAAAAGTACCTCGGAGAGCGCTGGGACCGACATGGACAGCGAGGTGAGGCATGGCTGAAGGAGAAGGCCGATGAGGGCGACAAGTGCCCCCCCCTGGAGGACACGGGGTCCTGATTCTAGAAACCCTTCAGGCACCTTCTTGTTTGGTTTCCGGACAATATACTAAACTCAGAACCGGAAGCAACCTGGCACAGGACTTCTGGGCGGCAAACAGCTACTGGTGCCTGCTGAACAAGGAGACCGTGACCGTGAGGTACATCCCCCAGAAGCTCGACCTGGCCATCCCGGAGTACATGCAGTCGGAGAACCTGGAGCTCATTATGCCCCGGAGCTTCACCCGAGCCTCGATCAGGAAGGAACTGGTGACGCTTAACCTCGGGGGCCTTTGCAAGGCCCTCCAGAAGGACAAGATGCTCACAGCACCTGTCTGGA